ATATATATATATATATATATATATACATATATATATATATATATATATATATATATACATATATATATATATATATATATATATATATATATATATATATATATATATATATATATATATATATATATATATATATATATATATACGTATACGTGCACACACACGCGTGCGCGCACACAGACACACATACACATGCACAGACACAGACACACACGCACAATTCATTTCGTTAACCCGGTCTTGTAAAGAAATTCAATATTCCGCATATTTAGTAACACGTTGGGTCGTATTCATTACCCGTGTGTTTCAATACGGTCGGAGAAAGGTGTTGAGCTTGAGATAATATGAAATGCAGTTGGACGTGGCGGCATACAGGCACAGCCCTCTAAATAGATTAACATGCAGTTGGGATGGCGTATTTGCAGTTTTGCACCAAATCCGAAAACAAACAAACACCAAAAACAAAAGAATAAAAAATCATAGCCCTACGGCTTACTGTATGGTTTTTTTTCCCCAAAGACATGATGCATCTTGACAGGTTTTGCTTTTGACACCGTACGCCGAATATTTGTTCTGTTTGCCTTGTTCTTGCTGTTGAAGTAATAACCGTGTGAGCACACTTGCTGCTCTCTAGTGCTAGCATTCGAATGCATCTGCTAGTGTTATCACTCGAACACAGGCGTAAAGATGATTGGGGGATTCTGTAAGTATATTTACTTTGTGCATCCGTTACGCTTGTACCTCTTCGCCAGTACTGAGTTATTGAGCCTGTTCATTTTCACAGCGATATTACCACTCGTTTATTGTCAAGTTATAGTCGCCCATCTTGATTTCCTCGGTTTAACAGACTCCTTACTCATATTTGAATCAGATGGGGCGCCTGTGAGTAAGGCGTTGCTTATTATCAGTGCCTTCTGTTCGGTTACCTCAATAAGTTTAATGAACGGATACCGTTTCACTCTCGGCGCAGGCTTACCACTTGAAGCTCAGGTATGGAGTGCTATGCCGGGTATTATCAGGACAACCTTTGCTATACAGTATCTAACCAAATTTAAAGCTAGATTGCTAATTAATTGATTGTATATTATTTAGGTACACAAGTATTAGCTCAGTAAACTGGGTTCTGAATATATCGAACTGAGGGTCCAAAGATTCTTTAAGTTAATAAATGCATATTTGTATACAATATATATATATATATATACATCCTTGCATACTTACATACACACATACATACGTACATACATACATACATACATATATATATATATATATATATATATATATATATATATATATATATATATATATATATA